AGAACGTTGTCACCACAGAGCGCCGGTACAGATATGGAAACTCGTCACGTCACACTGATATAACCGAAATATGTTATATTTTATCAAACATTATGTGTCGCCCGGTAAAAACAATAATCAAAGAAACACATTCGCTACATGTAGAATATTTTTAAAAGGATAATCGTCATCTTGTAAAGACAATAATTCTGTACAATTTGATTCTTACCACGACAATGCGGAAGTATAACAATATTTAACCATTTGACTAACCGTGAAGTGAAGGTAATAGTGACATTTGCTGCCGATAGATGGAAGCTTATTTGAACGAATCTCTGATGAACTCCAAGTTTTCTGTAGAAATCTGTGTTATTAGAATCAAGCAACAGAGCGCTGAACAAACGCCTTACCTGCTGTACTAAATGTCCTTCCTACTCAGCATGCTGGAAGGTTGCAAAAATAGGGAATGGCATAGAAGCAGCCAGTGTATATACAAATTTGGGTTATGGTATATAACCACAATAAGCACACTCCATTAGGTGGTTTCAAGCTTTTTCCTTAGGTTTATCACCCCAATGTAGATGTGCATTACATTTAATCGCTCAGACTGCACTTTTATTCGCCTGAAAGTCACATATCCTTCGCAGAAAAAGCTTTAAATGTACGAACAAAAACAATACCAGAAGCGGTTAAAACAAGTGCAAAGAAAGGTGCAGTATTTATAGCACAGAATAAGTACAACACACACATGCCACAAAACGCTAATTGTCCTCCTGTGTGCTGATTGCTTTGAAACACCGGCATGCGGGCCCTGACTTGCTGAACTTTTTTCGCGCGTGGTGTTTTTGGACAGCATGATTGCTCGGACGTCTGATTCCCCGCTGTTGGCGTAAGACGAGGCGGTGGCCTCGGTGTTCTCAAAGTGATAACTTGTTTTGGCCAAAATGAGCCTCAGCCCCAAATATGAATTCAGCAAGGCGTTACACTCGTTTTATGAACTGGGGGACCATAATATACGGATCGCAGTTCTTTGTGCTGTTGCACTCGGACATAAAGTCACCGCACGAAGAAACAGTGGTTGTTGAGGAATGTGAAAGACGATGACTAAAATACCCTCATCCGCGCGCATTACCATGATATGCTGCTATAAATCGAATGGAAAAACTGTTAAATATGCGGCAAAATATTTTTCTATCGGATAAAAGTAATAGTCTTTGATGGCAGTTTGGTCTTCCTGATATCACGGAACGTTAATTGCGATGAATTTTGCAAGACCAAAAGATAAAAAACCACTATTAGTTAATTTGTCATTTCTTGCACGGGTTGGTGTTGCGTATGTAAAGGTACCCTCAGTATTTATTAAAAATTACGCAGACAAGGCAACTCACTTTGAAACGGACCTGAGTTCACCACTTAATACCTACACCCCCTAGACCTCTATATACTTTTTCCGATTAGTATTATTGGTCATCTTCGAGTGACAACCTATCACATACTAAACAGTGTATGTACTCTCATCTTGTGAAATTGCGTCTTATTAACGGATCAAACACGAAGATGTTAGTAGTCAAAACGGAAGGGGATTTGTGAGAACGAATTAAAGTATAAGCCTTAAATGAGTTCACATAATGAACTAAAGGTGTTTACGTACAGCGGTCTAGCTGCGTTACTATTCACAATAAAAAAGCGTGATCTATGAGGCAAGTGCCTTGTTTGCCTGAGGATTGCTGTCATATTCGAATTCATAATGAAATACAAAATCAAATACATACGCATAGGCGCACATACCTTACATGGCTCGCTCGAGTTGCTACTGCTGGCTTGTAATGCAATCATGGCTTCATGTCTACCATTCGAGAATAGTGCAATCTGTAGTTGGCGAGCGTGGGCTTGCCTTCGATGAATCCTCCTCGGGCTGCGAAACAAACAAAATTTATCCAACTCACTGCGGAAAATAAATAATTACTTTCTTATGTCCCATTTGGAGCCCACACTTAACTATCCAAAAAATCCCTAGATCAGCACCTGCTGGCAAAAGCAGGTTGATGAAGAACCTCCTACAGGAACCGCGTCTGACGTGGACCGCAGACAGTTAAAGGCATGCATGCGCTTGCACTCTGTTTTTTCCATCCCATACCCTTTCTTCCGTTTCCCCTTCCCGCAGACTATCTGCACCAATCTCTGCAGTCATAATCAGCTTTCGATTATCAAACCCTTTCCCATATTTTCACGACTCGCCTCTATGAAAGGAGGAACACGTTTTAATTTGTGCCCCATTCCCATCTAAGTGTAATGGCCCGATGAGAATTTATTTATAACGTACGTGCAACCGCTAATTACATTTCTGAATTCTGTGAGGGTAAAGTTCGCAGCTTAAGTGAAAATTGCTCAACTACTTGGTTAATTAAAACTGCCAGTGTTATCAATGTTGGCCTCATGCTGCTATTTGAGGAAGCATTTTGTTTCAGGTAAAGGGTTAGAACCGCGTAGGGGCCTTTCCATTATATGTAATGTCGGCACAGTTAACCACGGCTATATCAGTTCCCAGCTCATGCGAGTTTCGAGAAAATTAAAAATGCCGCCAAGTCTCTTTGAATGAGCAGCAATATTGGAGCCGATTGCCGCTATTTGGATTGTAGTCGCTTGCTCCACCAGAGTCGTCTTGCGCAGTTTTAGGGACACTGAAACGTAGGTGCATTGCCCTCAGTTGCCCATATCAAATAAAAGACTCCAGGCATTATTCATCAGCATGGTGGGATCTTTTAAAATTAGTACCTGGCATCCAAAATTGGTTTTTCGCCGACGGTATAACTGCAGACGCCAGGCAGGCAAATTAATCCCTCCCAAATGCATGGCCCAGACATTGTTAATTTTTTTATCAAATAAACCAGGAGCTATAGGGTAGCACAGTGAGGTCTTATTTATATACGGAAATCTGTTACACCTGCCGTACAACGCTTCTGTCAAAACGCATCAGAATATGTCTCTTATAATGAGACCGACAAAGTTCGGACACAACGACCGAAGAGAGCTTTTGGAACAGCGATCGCTGATGACATCCCGATAGCCATGTGCTCGTTATCAGTTTTTTGTCGAGATTCGTTTTTTTTCTAACTTTTTCGATATTTAGTTATTATATGATGCCTCTCATTGCCGTTTTTGGCAGGTGCGGATTCGCGAACGCGGAAGTCCGTCAACGTCAACTTCGGGAGTGGAAGTCAGTGAAGATCGCAATTTCGTACGAGCGACAAACCTGCTTTCGAACTGCCTGTTAAAACTGTCAACTGCCGAACGGGTACATTTGGGCTACAATTATCATCAACACTGCATAGGATATTCTATTAAGCTAAGGCCGGGACAAAAGCGCGAAATGATTCTTTTAACTGGAAACCGTTTGATTTCATCTCGACTTTCCTTCATCCGCGGTACTATCCACATTTGAGGTAGGGCACACATAAAATAAAGAGGAAGTGATTTAGGTTGATGCCTTCAAGTTGCTGTAAACTAAACAGGTATTGAACACAAAATGGAAGCCAATTTGACAATTTTTTCAATCAACAGACTACGTTTGGATTATATATAGTATTTTTTGAAAACTAGGGCACTACGAGTTCACACACATAGCTTATTAGAAGCAAATTCGATTCACGGTAATTTAATAATATTCTTGATTCAGCTGCGTTTCCTGTGCGTTATCTTAGTGGGTGCTATCTTCCCCGTATCCGCATTATTATGCCCCGTAATAATTTCCGGCCATTTCCTGATTAAATCCTGAGGCCCTTTGGTCCTGTTGCGTTTACGCACTGGTGCTGCTATGTAAAAAATTATAACGGGAACGGAAGTTTTATTTTTTAAACTTTACTGCAACACTTTAAAGTGAATGGACATTTATTTGAACAAAAGAATGATAAAGTCGACAGCTTAATAAAAGTATTGCAGCATATGTAGAGCTAATTAACCGCGAAACATCTGACACAGAAATGGACGTAATTATCAGATAACACTACATAATACATTCCAAAATTAAACATTAAATGATACCTGACGACGTCAGGCCTAATGAGGACAACATGCCTCGAAAAACGTAAAAACTCAATACTAATATTACCTTTAAGGGAATTATATGCAAGTGGAAGGTAAACTGAAACATCCATAAAAAGAAGTCATGATCGCGTCATCGGCAGCATATAACAGGCGGAACAACATGCGCATCCAAGCACGAATTCAATGTTACTGCATGCCGCCATTCGGAAGAAACGTGGAAGCCGCCATAAACACTCGTTAGGAGCCCACTTAGAAGAATAAGGGACATCAATGCAGACAGGGCTGCGTCATTGAACTGTCATCGGACCGGTCGTATCCAGGTGAGCATGTTTACGGGTTATTGTGCAAACATTAGGAAGAGTGGAACGGCCGAAAACGCCAGCGAACTAACCGTAACGGAATGTTGTCTCGATATACATTCGTGGCCGAACCCCAGACCGCGCCTTCTACCAATATAGTGAACACCGTAAATGGACAGGACGCCATGAGTCTGGCAATTCACTATAGATACGACAACAAACACACCGTGTCCCCTGATATTGATATGCAACAGCCATGAAATGACAGCAAACCGGCTCATACCTCGTTCGCCTACCTTACACTTGAGCGACAGTACCGAAGCATGTGATAACCCCCATCTCTTTCCAAAAGCATCGGTTTAACGACCACCACAAGTTTTACATCTGACCAGAAGAACCAACACATGCGACAACTAAAACCCCTACACTGATACCCGGTACACTTTCTCGAATCCGCGAAGATTTGGTTCCTCATCAAACTTGTAGGTTACCAAAGCCCCCGTTGATATTGTTTGGGACGCGGTATGGATAAGAGGTGAAACCTGGAACAAAACAGTATTTGCAATCTAGCAGTAAACACTTTTAAATGAAAAACCAAGATAATGGAACCCTTGAGAGTTATTATAGGAAGCAAATTTCAATTATTTCTGCTTCAGATACGGCCTTCGACACCTTGTCCTAGGCCGCCATCTTCTCAACACTCCTCATAATGACAACGGCGAGCGTTTGCTTCATGACACGGAGGGCAAACCGTTCTAGAGGCGCGAACTTTGCAAAGGCTTCACGACACAACGGTTTAGATGGAATCAGCTTCACAATGTCTGCCTCGGCATACTTAATAGCCTCGGGGAATTCTTCTAGGAGCAGGCAATTTATTCTGTCCACTTTGGTAAAGAGCTCGGTAAACCTGCAGGAGATATGGGCCTTACGTCAATCCAACACGGGGAGAAGCCATTTTTGATATTTCCACGATTGTTCATGACGGAGACCTGAGCGTAAAACGATTCTGTCACGACAGGTAGCCGGTTCTTTGAATCACCAGCGTCGTAACCACGGCAAATTTCCTTGGCAGAAATACCCTTAGCTTTGAAACCAAGGTTGTTGCCGCCTCCAGCTTCAGGAAAAGCTTCCTGGTGCTTTTCCACTGATTTGCCTTCTGCTGTGAGACTAGATAGGGCAAACGGAAAAACGGTACCTGACTTTGTAGTGCCTGTCTGCAGTCCACCGAAAGGCACAATGCTGACGTCACTGATCTTGTAGACATCCTAACGTCAATAGACTAACATTCAAAATATGACATACCTGAAGGGGAAGACGAAGAGGCTTGTCAGCGGGACTCTTCGGTGGCTCGCTGCTGTCCATGACCTCAAGAAGAGTTTTGTCAGTAATGCGCCTGCTACGGCGGATGCAGGTCCACCCGTTGTACCACTGTTTGCTAGTGCTAGACTCGGTCAGACTCTCCCCTTGCCAACAGTATATAGGTAAGAATGGATCATATATCGGATGGTTACCAATTTTCTAAATACAGATTAAGTCAAATTCATCTGTCTGGGTTCCCTCTAAAATTTCACGCTTGCTTCCAGTTGATAGCATTACGTTTGTAGATGAGGTCGCCAATGGTCGTAGACTTTTAACTGTCGATTTGTCCGATAACAATAATGTTCATATGAATATTTTCCTTGTAAATATAAGGTGCATGTCTAACTACTCAAACATTGTTACAATATAGGACGTGCCATGCTACTATGCTAAGCTAACTGTGGAACATGGCATGCCCTAAGTTGGATGGGAGACGTTCTGTAACTTTCAGCCTATAGCTGGATACGTAGCAATTCTCTAGTAATCCTAAAGACGGTAAATAACACTACCTTGGGAGATAATAAGTATGGTAACCGTTGAGCTAATCATGCAGAATGACGGTACCCTGAGGCTGGGCATTGTCTATCGAAAGCTACACTCAGTGACTACAGGAGGCATATGGTGGACATAGTCGAACTCGATGGTCAATCCATCATCTACCTGCTACTAGTCGCCACCATGTTACCACTCTGTTACGACCTAAATACATGGTAAATTTTAAGCTAGTATTAAATACACGTTTCTTTAACCCTTCAGTATAATAAAAATCCCCATGTAAGTTATGGCTGCATACTAGGTTAACATGTCCTATATGCACGACCAGGCTGCAATGTGGCTTGTCAATTATTGGCTTTGGCAAGTATGATTACTAGAAGTAACGCTTCCAGCATAGGCACAGCACTTCAAACAGTAGTTTCCTAGCCCTAGTATTTAAAACATAAGGAAACCAGCAGGGCAAGCATTGTGTGCCCCGAGCTGCAAAAACCTACTCTACTCGGAAAAGCACAAATTCAGGTCCACATTTCTACTTGAGATTGAGGGAACACGAACCAGATCTGACTCTAATCAGTGTCATTTATGACCAAATATTGGCGTCCGTAATCGTATCAGCACTAAAATCACTCAAATACACCGCTAGAAGCAGCAGCATAAACGGTAGTCGCAGTGGTTGAAACACGCGACTTGGACTCATCGAATCCTTCCGGGCAGCTACTATGTGTGATTGATAGTGCAGTAGCAACAACCCAAATAGCTACCGCTACTCAAGAATGAATCAGGCGATTTTTCTGCCTGCAATGGAAAACGTGGCTTACGCTATATTCTTCCTACGTCATCTCAACGTTCCTTGTCATCAGTTCAAGCGGGAAGAGAGTTTAAAGTGGGGAAGATGGCTGATTGTCTACTTTCACTTTAATTAACTACAATTACCGTCCTTGCTCACGGGCATATGGGAATATCCTCGATGTCGATGGTCGAAGTAAACACACATCCACGTCTTATACCGTTAATTAGCATGGGCGGTGAGTGAGCCGACCGCGGTTTACAAAGCGCGGCAAGAACGAGCACAGAGACCACGAGACAGCGTG